TTTGCTCTTGCTTTCCTTTGAGATTGAGAGCATGTGACTTGGCCAAGGTCATCCAGTAGGTTTCCAGAGCACGGCAGGGATTCAAAATCTGGTCTCCAGAGTCATAATCCAACACTCAAATCACTACACCATGCTGGCTCCCAGTCTGCATGGCTAACGTTAAGGATAATTGGATTTGTAGACCAAAACATGTGGTTTTCCAGATTGGAGAGGTCTGATCTTGTCCTGTAGTCTGTTTCCGAAGAGTAGACAACAAAAAGTTTCCAGGAAATTTACAATCAGGATATGGAAGCAACAGTCAATATTAAAGCCATCCAGAGGAACAGGTACTAACAGATCATTCCTATATTAATTTGTTTAATCTCTTTTTTAAAGGTACAGTGGCCTTCAGTATAATCTTATAGGTTAATTCGCAGTATAAAAATTATTTCACATTGCCAGGACTAGGTACAGTACCAGCAATCTTTCTCACTGCTTGGTACAGCTGTTTCATCCACCATCTTAAGGCACAGGAACCCGCTGAAGAGGATCTTGTGCAATCTATTGCTGCCCCCTGCAACCTTTAAACTCACCTAAATGAGCTCTCTGAAGCATGGTTGAAATTGCTAAACTCCTTAAGTGGAAAAATGCATTTTTACTTACATGTTTCCTGTGAGATAAATAGCCAAAACGTAGTAGTGTTCTATGCCTACAAAAATCATGGCAGCTGCAGCTATCCCTTCCACATAGAAGGAAAATAAGACAATCTTATAGTAACCAAATTTCCGCAACAAAGCTTGACTGATGAGCACAAGGCACTGAAATGAAAGAGAAAATATTTATCTCTCCATAACGCTGTAATCTTGCTAAAGAGATGCTAAATATTTCTAGCATTGCTTCACTGGGCTTTAATAATTAAGAAATGTACGGTACATAAAAATGTCATTTTGAAAACACCCTTCTGTAGCGCAACAACATGCAGATCATCTCAGTAATCTGTCCAATATAATGTCCCAGTATCAGGAAATAAGAAGAACCAGATGAAGTCATAGTCCTCTTGAAGACTGAAGTACACAGCTTGGGTGTACTGCTGGATTCAGCACCAAACCAGGATGCCTAGTTTTTGGCAGGACTGCCATTTTACGACACCGTTGTATTTAATGGGACTTGAGATTTTGGTATCTGGGGGGGCAGGGTGGGGGGCCCTGGAATCAAAGCCCAGTGGATACCAAGGGCCCACTGTACTAATTTCCTTTCCATTTTTGTTCTGCTTACTTCTTTTACTGCCAAGCAATACTTTTTTGAAAAGGGGGAAAGATGATAATAAAAGGATACTAGCAATTAAAATGCCCAGCAATTGACTAATCAAGGGATAATTCATTACTAATTCCCTTAGTCCTAGAGAAGCCAGTCTTGCAATTTTACATGTGCAACTCCAACAGGGCAGACCTACCTGCCTTTCAGAATATATGTTCTCACAATTTTTAATAACAATGAAACACTGTTTTTTTTACCAAGTTTTACCAGGATTTTTTTTTGGGGGGGGGTTACTTATACTAGCTGTTATTGTTGTTGTTATCTTATACCCTGCCTTTCTCCCAATTTAGGGAGGTTGCAGACTGCCAGAAATAGTGCAAATTTAGTCCACTTTTAGGGTTAGGGAATCATGGGAACTGTATTTTATTGTGGCACCAGAACTCTCTGACAGAAAAGGCTCAATGTCTCAGAAAAAAAAAAAATCCCAAGAGGTGTTTTTCCCTGTAAAGGCTACGTGAAAAGAAACAGATTATCGAAACGATCACTGCAAGACATGTAAAAATTTAACAATTTGTGCCATTCTTTTCTCCTATTCTCTTTTATAATTGGCAGAAATGAATGCAAAATAACCACACAATGGAAAATTGTACTAAAAGCTCCAAGAAGGCAATTAATGAATAACAGGAGGATGTAGTTGAAGACATATCTTCCCATAGGGACAGTGAGGGCATGGGAGTAAGAAGTATGGGAAGATATGCCTTCAACTACATTGGAGGGAATAGTTCCCCCTACTTGTAGTCTTCTAAATCCTCAGAAAGCTGGCCTGTCTTGAAAGAGACTCAGGTACACTTCTCCATCCCATTGCATCCTAGATTGGTGGGAGAAGAATGCTCAGAAATAAAATTCTCTCTCTCAAAGATCAAAACTAGGCCATGTCCAAAGCCATTTAAGGCAAGCTCTGTGAAAATCCTATGTGCTCTTACTAAGGCCAGACCTGAATTTGAGTGAGGCTTCCTTGCACACTGGGTAGAGGTAGTATTTTACATGGCCCCTACCTCTTGATGGTGGTGGTGGGGATTGACTTTTAGTTAATTATTCATTATACCCTCTCCCCTTCCTTTTGAAAAAGCTAAGTTCCTGCATTATTATTTCTTTGTATGTAAGTCTACCAAAATATGTTATTTGTGCTGGAGGCAAATGGGAGAGATAGTTAGTTAGTTAGAAGAGCAGGATTCAAGTTTCTTTGGACAAATCTATCACGTCAAAAGATGTGTTCTACCATATGATAAATCTGGTGAGGAGGAACAAGATAATCTACAATTATTCATGTCAGTCAAAAGGAAGAATTTTCATAGAATCATAGAGTTGGAAGAGACCACAAGGGCCATTCAGTCCAACTCCCTGCCATTCAGGAACTCTCAATTTTCTATGAATTAACACATTTTCCTTTTAAGAGAAAACAAGACAAGGTTTTCGGCCTACCTGAGGACAAATAAAGCCTGCTCCATACATGATACTTCTGACAGAGGAGGCAAGAACATCCTTTGGGATGAGGTTATCTGCAAAGATCATCATGAAATTGTTGCAAAATGCCAAGTGGAAGACTTGAAAGAAATTCATGGTCACAAAAAGCAAAAAATTTTTCTGAGTCATAATCTCTTTTGTCAACAAAATTACAGAAGACCAAGAGAGAGATCTCTCAGCACTTTCTGACACAAACCCTTCTGCAAAAGTCTCCTTTTGGTCATACTCGGTAGTGCTATACAGTCCAGTGTAACACATGCAAGCTGTTGCTACTACTCCTACTATAACAGTAAAGACTTGAAAAGAGATGAAGTTCTCCATATTATCTGTAATTAAACCACAGAAAAGGATGCTGGTAGATCCAACTAAGCTTGCTACCTGGTTATACTTAATAAGCTGAAGTCTACTTTCATGTCTAGTGGAAATTTCAGCAAAGAGTGCACATTGTGCTAGCAAAACAAATGTAAGCAGGCCATCAAAAGCACACAAAGCAACAATAAGATGAAGCCCGCTAAGCCAGTCATCTTCTTCATATTGTTTCCAAGGAAACCAAGGAAGCAGAAAAGCCAAGGCATACAATGGAGCTCCATATAAAATGGAAAACTGACGTCTGGAGCAGCATGGTACTCTGGAGTTGTCTTGAATATACCCAAAGAGGGGATCATTAATGGCATTCCATATCATAAAAACAACCTGGGTAAAAACAAAATACAAACATTTATTTGTTAAAATACTTTCCTCCACTTTGCATGGCTCAACAGAAGTCACAAAGTAGCTTAGGCAAATAAACACAATATCACAAAATGCATCATGACAAGAAAAATATTAAATAGATGCATTATTTGATACATTTGAGCAATTAAATAGCTGATCATTGATTAATAAAGACAACAATATAGAAAATATAAAAATGTAAAAAGAAGTGTTAAATGGAGAACAGATTATGGTTTGGTGCAAGAAATGAAAACTTAGATGAAAATGTTGCACACATACTAATTCAATTTTTATCACATCCTTTCTCCAAGAAACTCAGAGCAATGTAAGTAATTGTGTCCTTCTTATTTCTTCACAATAGACCTACAATGGATATCAGTGACTGGCTGATGGCTAGTGAACATTGTGGCCAATAAGGACATGAAACTGGACCTTACAGATGCTTAAAACAATGTACTGTGTACTGTGGTAGCAGAAACTTGAGGATGTAACACTTGGAAAAATAAAGGTCTGTGTGCATGCATACTGCATGCACGCCATTGTGATCTGTGGCATCCATACTTAGGGTTGGAAGTACTCATCAATTACTGAAACAATTAAATAATAAATCTGTATGAGACCTTCTGTAGTCAAATTAGAACCTCAAGATATACTGAAATTAGATAAACCTGTTTGTATATTAGGTGATCATCCTAGCCTTCAGCACAGGACTTCAGCATTAAAAAGATGAAAAAGTGATTTTGTTAAAAATTGTTGAATGGTATGCGAGTCTCAACTAAATCAAAAGATCTCAATGATAAAGATGTATTTTGAGGAAATACACTCTTAGCTGAGTGATATTAACATTTGGAAAGTAGGCTTAAATACACAATCAGTCAAAATATTTGGCAAAGTTCTTTACAAATTCATCAGAACTGATCATCCTGTCACAACAGAGTCCCTGTTAAAATACATAGTTGTATCAATATTCTTAGGTGACTGGATCCAAAATTTCTTTTCCTACAAGAGAAGGAAAACTTTGAGTTCAGTTTTCTCCTGGTTCTAGCATGCTGCTTGGAAAGTCAGTTCTACCACACATATATTTTTCCAGGGCCAGCTGATTATCATGAGATTAGGCTAAACTGTGGTCCAAAACACACTGCAGAAATAATCCAGGTTGAGACTGCCTTAACTGCCCTGGCTCAATGCTAGGAACTGTAGTACTTGTGAGACATTAAGCCTTTTCTTTCAGAGAACTCTGGTGCCACAATAAACTCCAATTCCCTAGCACTGAGCCAGGGCAGTTAAAGCGGTCTTAAACTGGATTATTTCTGCAGTGTCTTTTGGACCTGTGATCAAGTGTGCCATCAAAAGCTAGTCCCATAGGAGGGGTAGAGAAAACCACAATTTTCACCCAGGAACTGCCACTCTGCATTCACCAGTTGGGTAAGAGAGACAAATAGAGATTTCAAGCTTTCAGAAGGTGGCAGGACTGAGAAAGAGAACTGTAGTATCTGTAAATAATAGCAGTAAATATAAGAGATGAGGGCCAGCATGGCGTAGTGGTTTGAGCATTGGATTACAACTCCGGAGACCAGGGTTTGAATCACTGCTCGGCCATGGAAATCCACTGAGTGATCTTGGGCAAGTCACATTCTCTCAGCCTCAGAGGAAGACAAAGGCAAATCCCCTCTAAACAAAACTTGCCAAGAAAACGCCGCGATAAGTTTACCTTAGGGTCACCATAAGTTGAAAGTGACTTGAACACAACAACATAAGGGATGGTCAAGAAGAAAAGCAGATTGTCTTCTATTTTTCTCTTTAAGGACATAAAAAGGAAACTTTTCATCAACCATATTTATATGGTGGCTAGAGCCACCATGTTTGCCAGTAAATTCAAACCAGACAGCTTTTAAGATAAAGAAAGAGAACTATAAGTAACTAAAGTGCACAGAAAGAAATATGTAAAAAAGTCATTTGAAAAGGAGAGCTTTGAAAGCGGTTGGAGGCAGGCCATGTTGGTAATGGTCATCTCCCAAAATATGACACCTTTAGCATTTGATACTTATAGACGTAGCTAATATTATACCATAATTTTTGTAACACACAGTTTAATTCTGAATTCTAAAGAATTACCTGCTGAAAAAGAAACACAAAAACCAAAAGTGAAAGTTTAGTGTACCTGTGCTTGATGGAACGCAGCTTCTGAGATTTTGTATCGGTTTAAAAAAAGTTTAACATAATAGAAATTAAAGATACTATTCATCATTCCAGCACCCAGTGTGGTCATGGAGTATGCCAGTGCATTGCGATGAATCCCTGAGATAAACTTCATTTTTCAAATGTGATCTCCTTTGTCTTCCCTAGGATAAAATACATACTAATTAAAAAGATACAGATGGTTGTAATTTCTATCAAGAGCTGAGCACTCAAATAAAGTTAGTCACTCAATCTTATACAGAAGTATTTCACAAAGGAATCAATATAATATGTAGTACTGCAGTCCTATGAGGGTTTACTTGGAAATACATCCTCATGCGTGCAGAATTCAAAGACATAGCTGTGTCTGTCTGGAAAATCAGTATGCAAAGGGATCTTGTAGTACCTAAGGGGGGTTGCAGACTGCCAGAAATAGTGCAAATTGAGTCCACTTTTAGGGTTAGGGTTAGTGCTAGGGAATCATGGGAATTTTTTTTCCTGAGACATTGAGCCTTCTCTGTCAGAGAGCTCTGGTGCCACAATAAACTACAGTTCCCATGATACCCTAACCCTAACCCTAAAAGTGGACTCAATTTGCACTATTTCTGGCAGTCTGCAACCCCCCCTAACTGAAAGAAAGAAGTTGTCAGTGTGAGTTTTCGAAGACTTGAGCCTAAATCATCAGATTCATTAAGTGGAGTGGAGAGTCCAGGGACAGACCTATATAATCCAGTTATGTGAGAGAATGTCAATTGAAATTCAAGACCTTGTGGATATGGAGATGAACAGATAAACAGGACAACCCTGGATGACCTATCTAGCATTGGTACACTCACAGTTGGTGCCTCCATATATATCCTTAAACCATATGCCACCAACACTCCCAGCTATGTGAAGGACACTCCTGAAATCAACAAAGAGGAATTCATAGAATCATAGAATCCATAGAGTTGGAAGAGACCACAAGGGCCATCCAGTCCAACCCCCTGCTATGCAGGAACTCCCAATCAAAGCATCCCTGACAGATGGCCATCCAGCCTCTGCTTAAAGACCTCCAAGGAAGGAGACTCCACTACTCTCCGAGGAAGGAGTGTGTTCCACTCTCGAACCGCCCTTACTGTCAGGAAGTTCCTCCTAATGTTGAGGTGGAATCTCTTTTCTTGCAGCTTGCATCCACTGTTTCGGGTCCTAGTCTTTGGAGCAGCAGCAAACAAGCTTGCTCCCTCCTCGATATGACATCCCTTCAAATATTTAAACACGGCTATCATATCACCTCTCAGCCTTCTCTTCTCCAGGCTAAACATCCCCAGCTCCCTAAGTCGTTCCTCATAGGGCTTGGTTTCCAGACCCTTCACCATTTTAGTTGAATAGGAAGCATGTGTAGGGCTAAAGTCAGAAAAGCTGAAGCGCAGAATGCGCTCAGGTTTGCTGGAGGGGTTAAGAACAATAAAAAAGGCTTTTGTGGTTATGTCCATAGCAAAAGGACCTGACAAGTCTTGAAATACAGTCCATCAGCAGTGGGTGAAACAGCGACAATGGTTTCCCCGGCACACTTCAACACTAACACACCTAACACACCCTCCTCATGAGTTCAGCACATCTCCTCTTTCTGATTTTCAATACTCATTCATATGGTTATATACTCTCCTCAGCTTTAGGCAACATCTTTGTCCCCCAATGACCATGGCTAAAACTGAAATTGTCTCCTCACTTCCATACCCACAAGGTTTTGAATTTCAATTGATTATTTTCACACACAACCAGCTTACGGAATATAGGTCTGTCTCCAGACTCTCTACTCCACTGCATGCATCTGAGGAAGTAGGCTCAAGTCTATGCAAACTCAAGATGATAATAATAATAATAATAATAATAATAATAATAATAATAATAATTTATTTCTTATATCCCGCCTTTTGCCTAAGCAATCAATGCGGCTTACCAATATAAAATAAATACAAAGATCCCTTTGTAAGCTTGTGTGTGCAGTATGCTTCCATGCCAATAGTAACTTGGAAATCAGTGCTATTCAAAGTGGTCCAAGGACCAGATTGCTGGTGACCTTCCAGGAAAAAAACAAATATTTGTAGACAATGGGCACAAATATGGTACTGGTCACTAGCCTGTGGGGAGAGGGGAATTTCCAGTCCCCAACATCAGAGACAGCATGGGAAACACTATTGCAAATAACTGCAGTGTTATTTGCACCAGCAAAGCAAAAGCGACAAACCTTTTCTTATTATACTGGACTACAACAATGCACGAAGCATGCAACTTTCTTATACTAACTCTAATTTTTAAAATGCTACACATGGCCATTCATTTAGAAAATGACACCTCCGACTACACAAATGTTAAATGCATCAGTGTAGCAATTTTGTGCAAGGTTGGACAGATTGTGAAACGTCAAGTAGCACAATTAACAGTGAACGTGAAATCAAACGGTAAAATATAACATATGCATTCTTTTGTTAGACAGGATCAGAGCAAGAAAGGGGAATTTCACTCAGTCGTTGCCCATATGTATTTTTGGACAAAACTGAAAATGGCTTACTTTACCTAGTTTGGCGCACAATATTTAAAATTGCTTACTTTATGTCAATATGAGTGAAGAATGATTTTAGCGTTTTTGCTACTGAAAGTTTACTTTCATCCATGTGCCAGGCTAAACTTTGTAACAAAAATCTGCTTGTTACTATTAAGATAATACATTTTGGTAAGTACTATTATGTGTTGTAGAAAACATCCAGGGGTAGCTATGTTAGCCATTTAGTAAATCAGTTTGGTGGATTTTTGATTGTATTATGTGTTGTGTTATTGCTAGGTTATTTATATGCATCTCTGGTTAATCGGGTGATTTTTGTTAATAATAAACATAACCAAGTTTGTGTGATCTTTTACTATGGAAAATATGATTTTTTGATTACAAATTTCCACTGTATGATTTACTTTCTGTAGCCTTACTAATGTATTTTGAAGGGAGAAATTGTTGTTAGAAATGAGATACATATTTCTAGTGGGATTCTACAATAAAGCAGTAACAGTTCTGCCAAGAATAAACAGTGTTGACACTTGTGGTAAAATATTGGTGTATGTCACAGAATATCTGATTATGTTGGTTTGTGGTGTGGGCATACAAAGGCAGCAGATGAATACAATTGGGAAAATTAAATTTGTTGTATACATGATGTACGATTTTAATCACTACTTACATTTGCTTGGTTTTTTTCCACCCTTGTTAATGCCCAGGTTTGAATATGGTGGAAATGAAGTACCTTGAGGGCTTTGTGCTCGACTAGATGAAACCATTTTTACTTTTCCCCGTTGTTGCCTTGCTCAAATCTAAGAGAATGCTGTCAGAACACACATCTTTCCATGTAGAGATCTTGTAGCACCTCTGAGACGAACTGAAAGAAAGAAGTTGGCAGCATGAGCTTTCCTAGACTTAAGTTTACTTCCTCAGATGCATCGGATCCACCAAATGCATCTGAGGAAGTAGACTTAAGTCTACGAAAGCTCATGATGCCAACTACTTTCTTTCAGTTCGTCTCAAAGGTACTACAAGATCCCTCCATATACTGATTCTACAGACTAACATGGCTATATCTTTGCATTTTAGATCTTCGCATGGTCCACAAGAGGGCAACATCTTCTCACCTATCTGTCCTTCTCTTAACATTTGCAACAGAATGGCTCAGCATTTTGTCAGAGAGCAAAGGCACACAAGTAGATAAAAAGATTGAGAGAGGACAGCCAGCATGGTGTTGGACTAGGACTCTCGAGACCAGGGTTCAAATCCCCGCTCAGTCATGGAAGTCCGTTTGGTGATTTTTTTTTGTGGGTTTTTCGGTCTGTGTGGCCATATTCTATCTAGACCCACTCTCTTCCATTCCAGTATTCTCTGAAGATGCCAGCCACAGATGCTGTCGAAACGTCAGAAAGAAACTCTTCTAGAACACGGCCACAGCGCCCGAAAAACCCACAAAAAAACTATGGATGCCGGCCATGAAAGCCTACGACTTCCATTTGGTGACCTTGGGAAAGTCACATTAAGGCCTTAGGGTTGCTGTAAGTCAGAAACAAGTTAAAGGGAAAAGTGAAGAAGGAATCTAAGACTATCCTGCCCCCTTTCCCCATAGTTTTCAAGATACTGGTTCCGAAACTGGGATGCTTAGTCCACCAGCACAAGGATCCAGTTGTGGTCAGAGCACCCACAGATATAGCATGAACCATGTTTTATGAAACAAGAAAGAAAGAAAGGGAAGAAAAAGTTCAGACAGAAGTTCTCTTTGATCCAAAACACACTGCAGCAATAACCCAGTTTGAGACTACTTTTAAATGTCTCATAAAACTACAGTTCCCAGAATTCCCTAGGATTGAGCATGGACAGTTAAAGCTGTCTCAAACTGGGATTATTTCTG